AAGCAGTGGTATCAACGCAGAGTACTCCTCTTAAATGAATTACAAAAAGTGAAACTATTTGATATTCTTTCGGAGTCATTGGACTCTCCCGAATCATTTGGGCAAGGTTGATTGGTATTACTGCACCAACCGAGCCCTGAATTGCTTCATTATTGCAAGAGTATCTTCTGCTGGCAAATGAGTTGGCATGATTGCCATCTCCATAGATTACAATAACCTGACTTGATCACGCTCACGTATGAGTTATCCATCATTACAACCCTTATTGAAATTCACTTGGAGTCACTGGCTCATAATGGTTTACTGGTTTGGTGGGGTCAGATAATATACCCACCATCAAACCTTGTTTGCTTGTTAAAATCAAAATATTAGGTTGAACACTAAGTTTTGCAACTTTTCTCATAACTTCCCTCTCAACTCGACATGGTGCACTCAAATTTTGCCACTGTGTTGGTTATTATGTATACTACAAGCGCAGCTGCTGTCCTACCAAATTCTGACGTCGCAGTGAGGGTTACGGTAGGTGTATGGTATGATGGGGAAAAATTCAAAGTTTGACGGATTTGGCTGAAACTTGGCATAGGGATGTTATTCGACATGCTGATCACGAAAGTAGTGAAATTGCGTGATAAGGGCTTTTTTGTAGGATTACTGTAAGTGTACGATATGGGGTCTCACCCTAAACAAGGAAAAAGGCGTTGATTCAACAAATGAATATGATATTCGCATTCGGCAGGTCAAATATCCTTACTATGTGAAGTCTCGGCGGAATTTGAGCTTCGGACTCTTTAGTCATTGACGGTCGTCCCCAGCAGCTCTTGCGTACATCGACTCGTTCGACTTTATGAGGACGCCAAATCTCGACATGCCCATAAATTTTGTTTCTTTCTTGCTAGGCCAAAGGAGTCAACCTCTTGCAATAATTTGTAGACGAATCCGGATTACTGCGCATGGTCTAGGCTGCCAAAGGCTTCATTTTAGCTTGAAACCTCAGAAATTCTAAAATTTTACTAGTTTTCGAAAAATGCCTGAAACTTTTCTACTTCGTGTTCAAAATTTAGACAATTTGTGCTCACTTGTAGCTCACATTGCATTCTACATGATGCCAAAGTTTGAGTGCGCCATGTTGAATGAGAGTGAAGTTATGAAACAAGTTGCAAAACTTAGTGTTCAACCTAATATTTTGCTGGCAAAAGAGGGCATGGGTACATCTCCATGAATCGCATCATTTAATTCCGATAATTATAATTATAGAGAAGTCAAATACAAGCTTTCATCACATTTTTATCAAGGTTAGACCTAAACTAATAATGCACTATCGTTGCGGTTAGAGTATAAATGACTGCTTTCTATTCTATTGTATGGAACGTCAAGAGCGTATAGAATAAGTAAATAAATAAATAAAAATGTGAAAGGATTTGATCAGCGCGTTGTACAAGCGCTCACGGAGGAATTTCGACGAGATATGCGATCTTTACATTTTGGGCAAAATTCATGAGAACGTGTTTTCGTAGGCTCGTAACTCGGCGAATTTCACAGACTGGAGCCTGAGTAATGCACCATTCGATAGCGCAATTCCTAGTAATTTTGACTGAGAGAAGCAAGCAGGTAAGGTTTTTGACAGATACGCGAGAAGTGCGGCCAAAGTTACGCACTTTCGTGATGCAGTTACAGTCACCTCACCGTATCTCTCCAAAAAGACCCTGTAATCCTCAAAGACCACAACTTTCGTAAAGAGCGTGTTCGAAAACCTTTGTAAGCGAAGTTTCCCTACAATTCAAGAGCATCAACATTTTGACCAAAATCCATCGGCGAGCTTCCGGAGCGTAAAACGAGAAAAAATGGAATAACCCGAACATATCGGAAAACTTGCCCGTAGAGGTTATGCGGCCTGCTGATTTCGAAACTCACATCTGCTTAGCAAGATAGCTTCCTATCCTGCGAATATGGCGAGTAGAATTTGGGACGACAAGATGTTTCCACAATTCACTAGCCGTTCTATTTCCTTTAAAAAGAAATCTGCTGCTACTATTTAGCACGTCATAATCTACAGGAAAAATACTGTCGAAAGGTCCTTGCTGGATTTTACTCGAGGCAATGCTCGCTGCTTTACACCTTCGCGAAAAGACGTCCTCAGAAAGATTTAAGAATACTGAAATCGAAATATCAAGGACATGCTGTATATATAAAGATTCGCCTTGATGAGCTGAGCAAGGCGCTGTTTTCGGATTCAAAATATACTTGTTCCGAAGGAAGTTATGGCGAGTAGAATTTGAAAACGCGTGATTTTTCCAAAATTCACCAACGCTTCTATCTCCTTTGGAAAGAAGTCTGAGCCTATTTTTCAGCACACAATGATCTACAAAAACAATGTTATCGAATAGTACTTAGTAAAGTCTTCTATGTTGGGTAGGCGTTGCTTCACATATTCGCAAAATGACCTCCGCAGAACAATTTGAAAAAACTGGAAACGGAATATCGTAGACATCGTACCCCCACTTCCATTACATCAGAAGATTCTCCTCGCCGAGCTGAATCGAATGGTGGCTTTGGATTCAGAATTCGTCCACTCTGAAGCGAGATATGGCCACGCGACGCTGATGTATGGACATGTCCATACGTATGGACATGTCTGTACATGTCCATACATGTCCATACATTCGCGTCTTTTTTTCAAAAAATGTGAGCGGTATTGTAAATTTGGAATCAGCTCAGAAAGGTAAATCTAATGGTATGCATTTCGTTCCAGATCGCCACGATAACTTGGGATCCCCCCTCCCTTCCCCCGGATGAGTTGAGCTATTAAAATTGGCAGAATTTGAAAGATTTAAGAAGTCACAAAGACTCTGACTCACAGGTTGATTCTTTTCCCGATACGTATTCACTGCTTTCACGTCGAATTTAAACATCTCCACTTCACAAGAGTAGGCTTTCGGGGTTAGCTTGATCACTGTATGTAGTGGAACTCGCAGATATGGCAATTCTTCTGTGTTTTTATTGGTGAAGTAGGCTAGGATACATCTCAATACTGCCTGAAAAGCAGATTCGATCGATATAAGTGACAATCGCAAGCTTTTCAAGTATACCTGATGGGAAATGACAAGTATGTTAGACTGCCGTTCAAGTTCCATGATGACTGGCTCCAAGCGGGTTACCAGGTCTTCGTAACTCTAAATTAACTTTGGGCAGAAGATAACCGATTGTCAAATTTATTTACCTCTCCGCTTGGATAACGATAATGGTACTTGTCCTTATCACGTTCCGCAAACTGTTTAGGGTATCGAGCTTGGAAATCTTCATATGTAAGGCCTTCGCATATACCCTGAGATAGCAATCACCAATTACTCAGACAAATCACCGAAACTTCCGCAAGACAAGCCAAATTTGCAGAAGTTCCGCAGGATTTTGTTCACTGTCGCAAAAATGAAAACGTTGAAAACCGGAACTTCCGCAGAGCCTTCTTCAAAATTCTGCGGAAATTCCGAAAAATGACAGAGGTTCAGCAGCACTTTGGCCTGCCAGAACTTCCGCAGGATTTTGAATCTATTGTCTCGTGATGTTGCCTCGCCAACTATTAGAGTGCATTATTTTACATGTCAGCCGTAGCGTAGAGAATAGTAGGTGGATCTCACAGTCAGAGTGAAGTTCAAATCTCGCTTCGGTGTTCTCTTTTGCTGTTGTGGTTGGCATTCTTCGGAACTTCCGCAGGTGACCCGGCGGAACTTCCGCAAGCGCTCTGCGGAAGTTCCAGTCATTTGTCAGAGTATTTAACCATTGCATAAAATTATGGAAAACATACCGCGTCGATTTCATCCAACACTTTCCAGTACTCAGTAGCAGTTGCTTGTTTCTTCAGGGAAGCAGCTGTTTGAGCGGCACGAATTCGCTGCGATGACCATACTCGGAGATCAGAGATGTCTTCACTCTGAATTGGTAATTTTGGTTCAGTAAAAAACAGAGGTCTCCATGACTCACTTCAAAGTAGTCTTTCAATTTTTCCGCATATTTTAAACCATTTTCACTCAGTGGACTGTCACCACCAAGTCGTCCAAGTTGATTGTACTCGCTTTCACCGTGCTGGAATGAAATCCTGCCGTTTGTTTGCAAATTCTTCAATCCTTTTAGGATGTGGGCTTTTTGCGCAGCTACAGTATACTACCGTAACACTCTTAAACAGTGCCCTAGGCTGCAGGCAAAAGGGTCTACTTCCGAGGGGAGACAAGAGGAGAATAAAACTCTAACAGTATACTCTAAGAGAAGCTTTCACAAACATCCCGATCATAGAGCATACTATAGCGGTGCAAAAAGGCCCGTAAACTCTAATCCATAAATCAGACCTGAAGAAGACAGCCCCGTAAACTCTAATCCATAAATCCCTGAAGAAGACAGCAAGTACCCTTTCAACTGGTTTGGCAGCTGGAAGGCGGGACTTCCTTACCTAGCTGAGGCTAGAGAGAGACTCAAACTGCGTCGCGGGCGCGAGCGGCCTCAATTAGGTCAAAGGGCCCCGCCTTCCAGCCGCCAAGCCAATTGAATCAAAGGTTACGTCCTTATTTTTGATCACTTTCCCATTAGTCAATTTAGCAGAAAATGATTATTTTTAGCCTCAAGGTGCATATTTTTGATTTTTGCTTACCCGAGTGAGGTAGATACTTCGAGGTAGTAGATGGATATTCATCAAAAAGTAAACCACACGACTTTGTACATGTCCGTTAACATTGTGGACGTAAAAGGATTTGCCAGCGTTGATGACCTAAACTGCCACTATAATCTGCCTAATGGAATGGTACCTGACAGTATTGTTACCTTGATGAAAGACAGATCTTCGTCTTCTTCTTCATCCAAAGGTTCATATTGTAGTTTGTAGTTTTCTATCCGTTTCAAGAAATCTTGCTTTGCTTCTTCATGAGACATGATGCCTTTGTAGTCAGGAGAATTGATTTTTACTTCCTAAATGATCTCCATTACTTTCAGTCTCACTTATATATTCTCTTTCTTACAGTGATATTGGAGTTGATGATGTGGGGATCGTCACATATGCTTTCAACGAAGAACACCCGGAAAGGGGGATCAACGAGGGTACGCCTATTGGCGCAAAATTCGGCAACCATTCGTCGCCGTGCTCGGGTGGTATTTGTAGCGTCGAGAATCTAGAAAATTTATTTAGTTATTTGGGAGACACAGTGAAAATAAGGCCTGCATATAAATTTTTGGGTTAGAAAATTTATCACATTTTTTGAAAAAAAAATCAATGCATAAACTCACGGCCACTTCTCCTTCTTTTGACGATAGATATTGTCCCATGTCTTCAATGGCCAATCGCGCACATTCCCTAGATTCAAAATATTCGATTCTGATTTTTTCATAAGAAAAACTCACTCCCTTATTCTGTTCCCTTTTATATTATAAGGGCTGAAGAACTCAAAATCGCCTTCCTTTTCAAGATCGCATGCTTTTCGTCGATACTCGCCGACATTAAAGGCTGAAAACGGAAGTATGGGAATTCCAGGTTGTTACTGGGTCCAACTACTAAGGGAAACAGCATTACCTCTGGTTTTGATCCCGATCCAATTCAGATATCGGCACAATTTGTGTGAAATGTATGTTTTACCCCTTGCTGGTAGGCCGACAAGAGCGATCACATTTGGCACCCGCACTTGCACGTTCGCATCTGCAGAATAGCAAATTTAAAACAAATATGTGTCATTTCTCTCTTTTTCAAAAGCATTGCTGATCGTTGCAGATCAAAGTAAGCGACAGGAGCGTTTTTCACTTCTGAGTGCACTTGTACTTTCAAATAGGGAACGCTGATTACATTATTTTTCATGTAAGACAACTGTGCGACAAAAACTTATTGATTTATTGAGACGATTGTAGCTCAGCAAAACAATCAACTTGTATATCCCAAGAATAGTAGTTACGTAATTTTTCAATTGTCTAACTACTTCAAGTTTGAATTTTCAGCTACTTTTTGAAGCATCTATTTCGACTTTCCTTTTCCTCGCTCTTGCTCTTTGGCCATTCCCATGTTTGAGCTTTCCAATGAGACTCAACTCTTTCACAAAGCACTTTTTTTTTGCTTTTCAAAAAGACTGTATCTCGGGATATCAGAAGCACCCTTCGCTTACATGTCAAAAAATACATTTCTAAAAGCCAGATCTTTTACAGAAAGACATCCTGTCAGAGTATCTCCCAGTTTTTTACCGCTATAATGATTCAATTTTTGATTCATCTTAATTTGAGCTTTGAGTAGATGGTAAAACACTAACATAAAAACGATGTGAGCTGTCGAGTCTCATAGAGATGAAGATCTTCATCCTCTCAGATAACCGACAGGAACTTCCGCAGCACTTTCGCTCGCGTGCTGCGGCAACGCTACGATTTTACAGCATTTCCGCAGCGCTTTGTGGAAAGTGCTGCGGAAGTTCCGGTTTTTGGTCGCTTTGACGTCAAATTCCTGCGAAAAGCCCGCATTTTGGAGCGTGCATTTTTTTATGGTTAAGAAAGTGCCGTGAATCCGCTACAATTTCTGCTTGTCCTGCGGAAGTTCCGGTGAATTGTCTGAATTTAACTCTCTCAAGCGTACACCTTTACTGTAGAATGATTTTTTCTCGCTCTTGTCATTACATTTCCTCTTGAATTTTCTCGTTGTTATGCAGTGTGCGAAATTTGACACTTTACAAATTTTGCCTCTTGTGAAATGAATATTCTCCGTGTTGACACTTTCTCGACCTATCAAACAACGTCAGGAACCATTGCCATTATGGGAAGAACTAGTTGCAAACCGAAGACACCACGTGCTCTTGCAAAAAGTGGCATTAATGTATTGGCAGAAGGTGTGGAAACGTGCGATTCCTTTAGAGATTGGAAAGTCAAAAGTTATCGGAATGCTATTATTCTCCGATGGCATGCGAATGGGAAAAAGCTCAACATCAAAAGTTCTGCGTAAACATCAAAAAAGTAAAAGTCCCAAGAATTTTCACTATGTTTTGCAAGTCAAGAGATAGGATATCTGCAGGCAGAATTTTTATCTTATTCAAACCAAAAAAATTATGAAGAATCATCTCCAAATTCCGTGACCCCCTCTATATTTCCGATAAGATGTTGAACTGTGATAATGACAGAGAATCAAAGTGATCCATCTGGCAAGAGATAGCGCTCTGCTCACAAACCGGTCTCCAAAGACTTTTTGGCCAATGTTGTCTCAAAATCTTACGGTTGCAGGAAGAGTAATCATTTTGTTTGAAACACCTATGTCCTCTTTATTTGACGCCAGGTTACGGTATTCTCCGAAAAAGTGATCTATTGCTTTATAAAGTGGTTTTTTATTTTTGATTGAGCAAATGGTTCGATTTTGAAAGATTGAATGGCTGTAATCGTGAGAGTCATAAACTGGCATCATGAGATTTTTAGTGTACATATGTTGCTCTCCACGACAACAATATTTTATGTATTTCTTATCTAAAGAGTTTATGACAAGGTTGAGAATCACATGGCGGAAGTAAACAAGCACATATATCAAAAATTTTGAACAATGGGCCCTGCTCTTTGTATTTTGCAAAGTTTATCTAGGATTAGACGTATTCGTAAGAACTTCAGCGGGCAATATTTTCAAAATTTCCAAAAGCAAAAGGGGAAGGAAAAAGACGAAGATAAAAAGATATATTTTTATGGATGAAATTTATTGTTCAATGCTTCTACAAAGACTACACTTGTATAGGCTTGCTTGAGGCAAGGAAATAGGTTCAAGAGAAATAGATTCTAAGAAAATCCAAAACATTAACGAGGCTTCAAAAAGGTTTTTCCTCTTTGCCCCACGATGACGTCAAAATGAATTATTTACTCCACGGGGAAATTTTCGGCAATTTCGATGCTCTGCTGCTAATTATGATTACTGCATCTACAGCGAAAAATGCGGAAGTACTAAAATAACATAAGCGGATTAAATAGTGCAAACACACCGCACTTCTTATCGAAAAGAGAACTTTGTTGTTTTATCTCTGAACATGGTCAGTTCTTATGTACTTTACAGCTTGGTTCTGTCAACATTGTCTCTATGTACTTTGAATCGCCAGCTTATTTGCTGTAACTTACTTTTCGTTTTTTTTCTGAGAAAAAGATGTCTGCGACTTGCAGGAAATTTTTTGAAGTATAGGAACTGAGATGCAGTACAAATGACACATAATGGTAGGGAGAATTTGGAAAAAGGGAGAGTTGGCCTGGAAGAGTTGTGGACTCTTTCAAAAAAGTTCAAAAGCAATAATTTGAGTAACAAGTCAAAAACCTCTCAATACGATAAGATGTGTAGTTTTTTCCAGGGGCAAAACGAACAACTTTTCTTGAGAAGTAATAAAGGAGGAATTTGATAAACTGTAGGTTGTTCAGAAGTCAAAATGGGGTCTCCAATAAGGTTCATAGGTCCTCTGTAAGTAACACAGTCCAAGTGAGCTTTTTGTAGCTATTAGGCAAACGCCATGCTTGATCCGCTTCGTCATTGGTTGATTCAGTGAACTGACCAATAACGAGGAGTTGTCCACTTGATCCACTTCATCCACTTCAGTATTGGTCGATTCACAGAATTGGCCAATGACGAAGCGGATCAAGTGGATTAAGTGGATTAAGCCTATCAAGAATGGCGCATGCCAAGATGTGTCAAGAAGACAATAACTATCATAAACATTCGATTTCTGTCTATAAAGTGAGGGAATAACTGCTACAATTTACTTTTTGGATTGTATAGAAAGATTTTTGATTGGGGAATCTCAATGACGAACTGAGCGATTGATCTAAGGTTGAGCAGAGATAAAGTCGAAAAAGGCTAGAAGGATGGTCTGAGTGAAATCAGCAGAGGCTAATACAGAAATAATGCCTCCACAATCAGCACTTATATGTTTGTTGTCTGAGAAAACTTATTGAACAACCGTGAGCAGGAAAAAGAACAAAGGATTAAAACTGAAGAAAACACTAACACGCAACGAAAAAATTATTTCTATTCCTCTATTTCTAAACGCACCTGCATCGGGGCCTCCCACCTGGAAGTACGTCATTTTACGTTGTGGAACACCGGCAGTAGCCATGTCCTTAAGAATTGAAGGCGAACTTTAAATTTTGATAAAATCACAACGTCGGCACAAAAAACGGTCATAAGTGGCGAACACGGTGTAAACACACGCGGATTCACAAACAGAAAAAGAGGAAACGTAGTTTTCTCAGCGAAAAGACAAGCATGATGCTGGCAGAAATTAATGAGCATGCGCAGAAAGTTGGGAAGTAGAACTTTAGTTCACATGTGGAGAATAGCATAAAGAAGTTTCAGAGGCGAAGAGTCACATGTGACAGACGACTATTAATTTAGGCAGATGAAGTTTTGGGCATCAAAATGTTAGATAAGAATTCTTTGACAAGGAAGACTTTTTCAAAATCAGCGGGGGTAGACTTATTTTCATAAACAGTTGTCTGAGAAGGCTTGTGAACATTTTTCCAATGAAATTTGCATTTTCTGAGTAAAAAAATTATGCATTTAATACATCAAATCTTCTATCTATTTTAAAACAATGTTTGCAATGACATGTATCAAGGAAATCAAATTCACTCCAGTGAATAAATACCAAAATAATCTAAACTCTTTGATTCTGATGATTTAGGCCAGTAAATTTATCCTGGAAAGTTTCCAAAACTTCTTTCAGGCATCGTCGCTGCTATAGACTTCCATTGAAGTGCGTGACCGAGGCTGTATTCTTATTTATGTGAAACTCTCAAAAAAATGTGAAACTATTCAAATCGGAATTAATTCAGAAAACATCAGAAACATAGTCGCTGAGAATTTCTGGGAAAATGTAGAAATTTGTGAAGTAGAAATCCCCATTTCCAACCAAGTCCGACAAAAAATTGCGACAAATGTACGAAAAAATTACTAAAGAGTAAGTTAGCCTCACATTTTTGTAATAGTTACTACAGTAAGCGGTTTAACATTAAATTTAAGCCTTAACCATATCAATAAGGTATGCTATATCACGAAAAGAATGATTAGAACCAGAAAGGAATTAGTGTAAAATATCAATTACAAAATTCCAGCGCGATTAATAAAATAAATTCACGACAATCCACCACAGCCAAATGAAATGACATTGAGAGTTATCCTGACAGTAACTATGGCAATAAATTTGAAGAATCTAATCATTTTCTAAGGTGAAATTGTCCCAAAGGTACGAAAATATGAGAAATCAAATGCCAATAAAATAAATCGAATGCGCTTGAAACTGAACTATGTTTAAGCTTAGCTGATTGTTGACAAGTTACACTCAGCAGGCATTCAAGCAATCTATATCAAATTTCTAAGAAAAGAGAGAAGAGTATAGAGTATAAAATTTTGTGCAAATTGTTCAGCAGTAAACGAACAAGTGAGTAGTATTGAGCGGCTTCCCTTTATAAAAAGGTCCGTCTGCTTGACAGAGCTGACAAAGCATCTAATAAGAAATAAAAAAGAAAATTATAAAAGTCAATAACTTTTTCCCATAAAGAGGTTTATTCTTTAGCAACACTTAGGAGCTATTTGTAGCCTTTAAATAAAAACGCAGAATACATGATTTACATCGTTGAAATACACCTGCAAGAACTGTAAAAAGCGTCTTCTCGAATTCCTATCTGTTCTTTTTGCATGCTTTCAAGTAATGTCAATTTGCACCTTCTTTTTTTTCAACTTTATGGCTTTTTTTTTTCACTATATGCAAGCAGAATACTGATAGCTACATTGTATAGAAAATTTGGACTTTTGTAGATATTTTACGGTCACTTGAGAATTGATTTATTTTTGTTTCAGATTCTTACTTATGGAGCAACAGCGCCATGAGAACCTAGGAAAAAAATGTAGCAAACGAGTATCAAAGATGAGAGTAACTGTTATATAATACTTTAGCACATGTTATATCTTTACAATTTTCGTAGGATTTTCCTTTTTATACAAATTTTTGGGATAGTTCTATCATATAAACTTTTCAGATTGTAGAATTAATCCGATGAAATGCGTACTTCTTGTATCAAAAGAAATGATTTAATAGTCTTAGCTAAAGGAATTTGCAGCACAAAGAAAAAAGTTTTTAGACTTTATTAGCGATAGTGGTCAAATGTTTATCCTTTGATTCAGCAAAATTGGCGGCTGGAAGGCGGAGCTTCGAAGGCTAGGGAATGATCAGAGAGCACGGAGGCGAGACGTAGACTGCGTCGCGGGTGCAAGCGTTCGCCTTCCAGCCGCCGATCCGGTTGAATCAAAGGGTAATTACATGAGATCAGAATACCAAAACCTGCATTTTAGAGTCTTTGATAGGTTGCAAGTTTCTTTTTCAAGAAAATTACTTTTTGAAAGCTCTGGCTATAGAATAGCCAGCACAGAAAATAGAATAGAAAACTTTTCTTTACAGGTGAGAAGAAATCCAATTCTAGAAGATGAACAAAAAAACTTGTACAATTTCAATAGATCTTAGAGATGAAAGTGTACGGAAGATGAATAGCTCCAGAGCTTTAATGAGCTTTTTATCTTGCGGCAGAATGAATGGAGCCCTCATTGGTCTTCGAATAAATAAGCAGTAGCTCACTTTTTCCGCAGCTTTTAATACCCTTTTCTAAACGGAAAACGTTAGCGATGGCAAAATGTAAGCCTATGTCGAGTTTTTCTTGACCAAAGGCTAAAGCAAAAGCTCTGGCTGGGAACAGGCGCCTCAGTAAGATATCAACGAGGCGAGGAGAGGCTTAGGCTTGTGTTCAAGTGCAGAAAGCTCGTTCAAGCTTAAGAAAAATTTCCCCTTCTTGAGTAATGAATTTTAGAGGATTTCCTATAAGAAAGAAGTCAGAGAACAAAGCCGTGAAAGAGACGGGAAATGTCGGCACAGAGAGAAGATCTTGCGCGCCATGGTGAAAAAGCGCAACAAAAGCGAAAGACATGACGTCAGGTGCTGTTGAGACTCTTACACCTCATCCCAGCCAAGGGACGAGTTTACATTTATTCGTAGCGAAGCAGTGATTATGTTCGGAGCTCTCACGACAGGAAGCAGAAAGCGGATTTGGTCGGTCTCGAAATGATCTCTGGTCGCTTTACTGCCTTATTTTTTTAGCATTCGCTCTTGAGCGGGAAAAAAAGTAAAGAAAAAGCACTTGTACTTGTCATGGTTAATTTGAAGAGGAAGAAGTGAAAAGCACATGCAAGACACTTGATTGAGAAGTCAAGAAAATTGCTTGAGAATTGAAAATTGAGTTTTATAAAAATTTCAAAAATAGCTAAAAAGTCAACTAGAGAAAGTGAATTCTCAGTGAATAAGGTATGAATGAACGCGCAAAATTCAATCCAAATTTGGTTCAAAGGGATATTTTTGAGAGAGTTTCTGATTCTTACGTTCTCAGCCGATGTTACACTTTTTACGAGACAGTAAAGCCACGGGTATCAGGCCATTATCAAGTGGTCTATATACTTTAGACTACCAACAGCTCTTTTTTACAACGAATATGCTATCAGGAGATAGTAAACTTGGTACTTTATACGATTACTCGAAAAAATTGCTCCCTAATAATCTTTTTTTTCTTTACTCCCTCTTAGCCAATCCCTAATAGTGAGTTCTTGAGGAAATTGAAAAATCAGATTTTTCGTTTGAAGAAGTGAAGAAATGGACACGCTAACGAATTACGGACTTCTCAGATTTTCGTTTATTCTACAGGGTGTCCCAAAAGTATGTATGCACTGTTTGATTGTTATATCTTTCTTCCCAAAAAGTTTTTGCCTTGCTTTAGGTACCGTTTTGTAGAGCTGGCTTCAACTTAGATTTTCAGTATAGATCGAGTCACTCATCTCTCTTCTTTACTGTAGGATTACGATAGAAACTTCAAAGAGGGTTTTGAGCCATGAAAGGCCATATTTTGCCAAAGAAGAAAACAGCCTGAAAACTTTTACACTAGGCTAATTAGAGTTGCTGCTTCTAATTGTAAAGTTCCCAACTTATTATGATGCTTCATTGAAGAGTTATGCCAGGTAAGATGTAGCGGCCATTTTTTCAATGTTCCTAAAAAGTACGGTTACACCGTTTAGAAAGCTTCGCAATCTTATGAATAGTTGAGTATTGAACTCAGCGTCCATAAAAACCCTATTACACAAGTTTTCACATTTTTTGAAAAATTTTGAAATGGCAGCTTTTTCCACATTGACACCATATGTTTCAAGTTCCTACCGTAATCCTACAGTAATGAAGAGCGGTCAATGATTCTCTCTACACTGTAACTTTAATTGAAGCCAGCTCTACAAAATGGTACTTAAAGCAAGGCGAAAGACTTCTTGGGAAGAGAGATATTAACGATCAAACAGTGCATACATACTTTTGGAACACCCTGTATAACACGATGTTATACGTTCAAATGTCTGCTTTAATCATCTATAAATAGAATTTCATTCAATTTCAGAATATCGTCGAAAAATGTATTTAATAGAGATTTCTTTGGCCAGAGCTCGGCACTAGGTGGCTTTTGAAAAATACAAAAAACGAAGTCCTCCTTGAGTTTCGCGAATTTTTACCAAAGTCCCTTGACCTTAAACCCCAATCGTAGTAAAGGATCTCAAAAAACGAAACGTCGACTAAAAACTCCACAATTTTTGTGTCCTTTCGGCCCCTTTGCTTACAAGCCGCTTGTGCCGAGCCCTGTCTTTAGCTATTTTTATTATGAGTAATAAGAAAAATCTTAACTTGATTGATGGAAATTTGGACGCATCTAAATTTGTTGAAGATCTATCCTTGAGCATAATCACATGAAATTCAAGACATATTAGGAGCAGATTCAAAACGCAAATGGATCACCTAGCGGTAGTAACTTGCACAAAATAATTATGAACGAGAGAGAGGGTTATTTATAACTATTTTTTGTCATTTTGCTCTTTGCACTACCGATTCTCCAGTTAACAATTTATCATGGGGCCACCATGAAGAATGATTTACAGATACGTTTGGAAAATTCCAGATTTCATTTTTGAGAATAAGTGCAATATATATTACACATGAATACTGAAGTTTTGGTGATTTTGGTGGAAATTGCTGGCCATAAA